GTTCTAAATGGTCCACTTCTTCAACCAAACCCACCCACCATTTTCTATCATATGCACATGCCACATAGTCATGTATGTTCACTGATATATGTTGCCTTGCTCTACAACCAGTTAAGTCAAAGGTTCCAGTGCATCCCTCATCCTCAGCTGTACGCTTGTAAGCAATGAGTGTATTTGACAGAGGTTCAAAGTAATGGTAAACTCTGGTTCCAGGTAATGTGTGCCCAGATTCAAATCGTTTGGACAGTTCACTGCGGACATGATCTATTTCTTCTTTGGAAATAACATGGAATTGGATATTGGCTATGTTCTCTCTGCAGAAAGTAAACATTGATGACAGTGTGAGAATCTGATCAGAAGTTGGTCTCTGAAGGCTAGCGCGTGCAGTAAGTCTTTTAACTGTTCCTCCAATACCATCACAAGGAGATTTACCATGACTTGTCGCGAAAAAGGCCCAGCAGGCAGCTATTCCAAAATCGGATTTGTGGTGGCATAAGTTTAAAAAGTTTTTGAAGTTCTTATACTGTCCAGCACACCCATCAGAGAAGTACTCTACTTTGCTAACAGAGGGCATATCAGTTCTAATAATGGTCATGAGTTCCCTCTGGACTGCATACACAAAGCAGGTATCATGATCTAAATCATCAGAGAAAAAACAGAATGATTTTTGTTGAATACATGTACTTCCACTTTGCTTATAATACAGAACAACAGGGTGGAGAGAACAGCGTTGCTTTGACCAGTGGAAAGACTGAACCTCATCTTGAACCATAAAAGTGTAGTCTTCTGCAAAGTCTACAAGAATTAAAGCCTCGTCATCTTGGAGGTCTTCCTTCCTCCTCTTAAGGTACTTAGCTTGACATTTGGCTATGTAGGAATGGGAAGTCAAGGTGTCAAGGGTGTCAACAAGCAAATCTATGTATTCATCAGCTGGCAAAGTTTGTGTAATAAGTGTCATCCTGTCTGTGCTCTGCCACTGTTGGAAAACAACGTCATCATCTGTGTCACAGAGCAACCTTTGAAGGTAGTCTCTGAGGGGGTGAATGCCTGGACAATTATCGCATCTGTGAACCATACATGTTTTATTTTCACGATCACACACCATCATGTCAACCATATCATTGTAGGTTTTGTCACACTGTAAAGCATCCACCAAAAGTTTTGCATTTTGGTGAATAGAACAAACACAAACAGAATGTGTTCCAGATGAACCTACATTTATGCACCACTTAGGGCGAAGAGAACAGAATTTTGAGAGGCCAATTTTGAGCTCAGGGTTTTTCTCTTTAAATACTGCATAAAGTTCTCTTAAGTCACCAAGCATTAAGCGCTTCTGTTTGTGCATGTTTTTTCCAACACTGACATAGTCCTTCTGCCCAGGCATTAACCGTGAAATTTCATCATTTTCGTAGAAGGATATAACTTGCTCTATGGTACTTGGTGGAAGTATTTTACCAGTCTTTTTTTCTGGCATGGCTAGGATGCCGCTGGAACTTTTCAATTCACGAGCTTGTCTTATCAAGTGCTCAGATACCCCAAAGTAGTGGGCAGCATATTCTCTGGTCCAGGTTTCTGGTGTCAGGGTGAGCATCTGAATTTTTTCTCTATTTGTAAGTGTACTGTTAGCTAACTTAGATTTAATATCTTCAGTCAGTCTGTCAAGGTCTTTAGATTTTCTTTCTAGGTCCTGGTTGACTGCTAGAGTGCCATCACTTACACCAACAGCCATTGCAAGTGTTCCCTGAAGCTTACTCACGGCACTGTCAAGTTTCCTCTGAGCATAAGATGCCCTTCTGTGCTCACCCAAGGAATGAGTTCTGAGAGGAGATTGCCCAAGTGCCTGAAGACTTGCATTTACATTTTCCCTTGCTTGGATTTGGGTTGATGTTTCAGCTTCTTCATCTGACATCAGTCCTGTTGGGTTATGAGAGGCCGCATCTGTTTGCATTTGTGATGATAGTGATGACGTTGATGGAAGGACAAAAGATTCCTGCTCAGCACGTTTTACACAGTTACGGCAAAGCTTCCATCCTGGTACACACTGATATCCCTGCTGATTCAGCCTCTTTGCAAAGTTCAGTGAAATTTTATGTCCACCTTTTACCACTTTAGTTTTATGGACTTTAAACAGATTGGCACATTTTGTGTATTTCTTCTCAAATACTGTCCCTAATTTGGCTTCATGGTGTAGGCAAATTCTGAAGTTTTTACTCTCAGAAACATGATGATTTTTGTTGGCTCTCCAAAGCAATATAAGCCTGTCTTCTTCAGAAAAATCAGAAAGATTCTTAAGTCCAGTGTTTCTAACATATGAAGTTTTATGACAATTATCTTCCTGCATGTAAAAATCACAAGATTCCATTTTGCAAATTGTGATCTCCTCTACACACCCTTGTAAACCACATGTTTCAGTTCAACTAAGAAATTTTCAGTAGATCTGGGTGTAGGATCAGCTAACGAGCAGCTGTAGCACTTATTGCAAGATCAACGAGTGATCAGTTCTAATTCATTGGAGCGTAGCAAAGGTATAAGAAAACTAATTGCCATTTTATTCTTATAAATTAATGCAAGGTTTTTTAAATGGCATATGAAAGAAAGTCATGGTGGTGGACATTATATTGGATTGAGTACGGGCGGGGGGGGGGGGGGGGGGNATTAAACACTTTCACTTAAAAGTTCAAACCCCCCTCTTTCAAATGACATAAAGCAAAAACACCTGTCTGGTTGGAGACATTGAGAAAAATGAGATTAAAAGGGTGGAGTGTCCTTCATTTTTAAAAAATGACAAGGATTTTCCAAAGTAGAAATTTTATGCATTTTGTGTGTGTCAAACCATTTTCAATTGGATAATTGGATTCCTTAAATACTAAAAGATAAAATCATAAAAGTAACATAGCAATGGGATACTTAGAACTTTTGTTTTAGTGATTTTCTTAACTAGGTCACCATGACCTAGATTCATGTGAGGCACAGCAAGCTCTCAGCTGGGCCCAACTTTGGAGTGTCATAACTCTGAAACCAGTTGAGATCTCAATCTAAAATTTTAGGTTTTTTCTAGTCCCTATAATATCTATAACATATGTGAAAATCAGCAAGTTTCTTGACGGAGGGTACCCTCGCTGGATGAGTTGATATGGAATGACCCTTAGAAGACCATATCCTGTACATCCTTGGATTATTTTTTTGATTGCTTGGGTAATTTCTTTTGGATATATTAATACTATTATTCTAACAACAAGGGAGGGGGGTTACAAAGTGCTGAATTTGGATGTCCAGAGTCTTGGAGATTATTCTACCTTCCGTTCCATGCTACGCCGTCTTGTCACCAATAACTTACTTTGAAGGATTCTCTGCATGTTTCCCTCAAAATCCATAGCCCACTGATTTAAGGAACATGTTGCAACTATCACTTTTCTACCCATTTTATTGCCAAGTACTTTTAAGCCTCTCCAAGGTAGTGTTCCAAGTCCCAAATCCCCTTGGCTTTGATCATCTGCTATGCACCGATGCTACTTTCTTCTGACAAGACAACACTGCACACATTTTTCACTAAGTTTAAAGCGTGCAAAGGGTGTGTATTTTTATTGCAAAAACATTTTGTCGTAATCATAATTTTTGAAATATGCTAATACATTCAACCCAGAAGAGGAATTCTTTGCGGCCTGAAAGGCTATCTTGTTTACCACAGTTGTAGAAACTGGCAGAAACCACTAAATGGGCCAATCACCGACTGTTGTAGTGCAGCGAGAAAAAATAGTGCTTTTTCCCAATTTTTTTTAGTATTTCTTGTGTGTTGCAAGGGTTAATTTTGGTGCCAACTAGCAGGCTAGGTTGTAAACTACTGCCCGTTATTTTTTCAGGATCAGGCACAGGTAGGCAAAGGTGTCGTGCAGTCGTGAGACCTCTGGCGGAGGGAGCTACTATGAGCGGTGCAGTGGTTTGTTTGCAAACAGAGGGGTGCACGTGTTCAAGAAATGCCGGTAAGATTAGTTTGATAACAGTATATTTTTGTGCCATTGAGAGTTCTGCCAGTGTGTCTGCTGTTCATGGGGATAGTAAATATTTCACTTAGACATTTTATTTATGCAGTTTTGCATGCAGGCATTTCTTAGTATGGTCGTTAAATTATGAGAAATTATTTGGTGGTTTCTGCCCTGAGTGAGGCCTAATATCACAACTTTCTTCATAATATTAATGGGTCTTAAAGCAGCATGCTTTTCAATATTTTTTAGAGATTATCAATGTAATAGTGTTCTAAAACCCAGTGGACTGCCCCGTCACGCTAATGCCTATATATCAAGTCCTTTGGTGCCATTTATACATTTTTTCAGTAAACAGTTGTGAAAATCTTTAAGATTACTTTGACTTTCGGGTAACACACATATAGTGTAGGGCTAAAAAATTTCAGTGTGCTCGTTGCCTTTGAGGTGCATCTTGTTTGTGTATGCAGTACTAGTGCTTTTTTTTTTTTTTTTTTTTTTTTTTTTTTTTGGTGCGGATAGCTGTGTTTAAACTCTGACTGAGGTAAAACAAAAATATGGTTTGGCACACGTTTTTCAGAAAATTAAGAAAGGTATAAGACAGGAGGGGGGTCAGATCCCTGAAGAATTTTTTCTGAATTAAAAGAAGTTGACTTATTTGCTCAATTTGATAAAATAATATCATTGAATAGCTTGTAATTATTCTTTGCTGCACCAAATTCACCATCGACTTTCACAACTGTATTGCATCGTTTAAACTAACAACTCTGTATTTTAAAAATATTTTTTGAATGAATTTAATCGGTATTGTAGCTCAGTACGATTACATAATATTGTTTTGGATAAAAAAAAGTAAATTTTAACATTTTGCTGAATTGAAGTAATTGTTAGTTTGCACAGTTCATTAGTTAATACTATTTTAACGGAGTATTTTGTGGCAAGGCTTTGCATATACTTTCTTCTCATTTTTTTGCAGAATTTTAACAATTGATTAATTTATTCAATTTTGAATGGCACATTTTTTGTACTATACTAGCAAAAGACATGAAAATTAGATTATGATACGATGGGTTTCTTAATTGGTACTTGGATTGCAGTCTCTAAATGCAGTGCTTTACTTTCAATAACATTTTTATGACAAATGTTCCAGCAGTTGAGAGGCATATTGATTAAAACATTAAATAAAAATCTCATTTTTAATAAAATTAACCCATTATATTTTCTAAAAAGCATTTAATGCTATTCTACAACATTCCATATATCATGATATATCACTCACTCACAGTTATTCTGTTCAGTTTGCCTTCTGTAAAAGGGTAGTAAAAATTAGCTAAGCCAGTTGTGCACCATTAAATTTCCCAATATTAATATAAACAAGTAAAAACACTGATACTGAAGCTCTTTTTTTTTCATCGCAGCCTATGATCAGAAGTGATTAAAATGTTTTGAATGTGTACTGTATAAAAAGTTAAAAAAATATATCCCAAAAGTATTTTACATTAAATTTCAATATTGTAATAACAATAGCAAGTGAATACGAGTTAGCAAGAAAAATACACGTATACAAAACACTTATATTATAGCTCTTTTTATATTTACAGCCTATGTTTAAAAGTTAATAAAATATTTGGTTGTTACGGTTTTTAATTTACAGTCCATATGGTGATACTGTGCTAAGATAGAATCCCATTCTGCTGGAGATTACCAAGATATTATGTTCCTGAATATTGTGACATGTGGAAACTGCATTCTTCTTCCACAATGCTTCCACCCTAATAAGAACTTTTATAGCTGAAACGACGAAAATGAGTTATTCAAATGGATTCAATGTTAAGTAAAGCACGGTTATTCTTTGATTATACTTTACATGTTTGACCTTACCTCATAATTGAACAGAAAATCTAAAACCTTTCTATAATTTCAAGTTGGTAGTGGCAACATACACTATACTGTTTACTACATGCATATACAAATGGATGGCCTGGACGAAGTTCAATGTGTACATATTTCTTTGTTTACCTTGTCCACATCTTAACACCAACATCTGGCCTTCAAAATGCCTGGAGAGACAAACAGTAGGTTTACAAAGAGTAATGAATTTATACTAGATGGCAAAGCTGGCAAATATACAGACACCATACAGAAAACAAGACAGCAAAGTTGACAAGTGTTCAGACATTATGAAGAAAAAAGTGTACCAAATAATGTAGGCCAATTTTGATGCACTGTTACATAATGCTTTAAAACAGCATAATCACTCTTATCCTCTTACATTATGTACTACAGGGTAACATGGACACTGAAAAACTAGCAATTGATTCAATTCCAGGGGATACAAAAGCCACTGAAAGTGTAAATGTGTGAAAAATACATAAAAAAATAAATAAATCAAAAAAGATTTTAAAAAAAAAAAAAAAAAAAAACGGAATTGCTATAAATGTAAAATGATCAGGCTAATTTTTGAAGGCAACCTGCCCCTTTCCCAAACAAAGCCACTCAGTAAATTAAAGTAAAACAAAAATATGGTATGGCAGTTATGGGGCAAACATTGCTAAAATTGTGCAAAACTAGAATAATTACCACAAATGTAAAGGAATCATGTTGATTTTCAAAATCAACCTGCCTCTTTACCAAACAAAGAAACAAGGCAGCAAAGCTGTCAAATGTACAGACAAAAAGCAGAAAATAATAATGCACAAAATAAGCTACTGTCATTTCTGATGCAATAATACATTATGCTTGACTGCAAAGTCTACACCAAATTTTAATCATGCACAACAGGTAATACAGATTCCATTCTGAAATTCTAAACATAGTGCATGATTGAATTTGAATCTGACAAACTACAATGTTATGAGTTTACTTCCATTTTTGACACTTTATTACACAATGTACGATAACAGGTTTACCATCATTTTATATAATCAATTAACAATATTGTTAAGATGCAGAAAATGTCAAAAGAACACTTACTTATCTAATTAGTTTAATTATGAAACTGTTAACATACCTAAGAAGTGGATCTGAGGAAAACCACTTATGTACGGAAAAAAGCCAAAACTTCGTCAAAACTGAATGAAACAAGTGAATTTTCAAACCCTACTTTCATTTCAGTAAGATCGTTCATTCCTGTGAGTATAAAGACAATCAGCCTATTGGTTTTCATTGAAATATGTAATCAGTTTTGCATATATGCCAAAAAAAAAAGGAAAAAACAGCAAAATTTTGGTAACAATGGTCCAAACACACTGATTTTCAACTCAACCTATATTTCAGGAAGATCGATAACTCCTGTGTGTTTCAAGACAATAGGCCTATCAGTTTTCCTTGAGATATGATATCAGTATTGCATATATGCTGAAAAAAGTGGAAAAAAAACATAACTTCTGTAAAAATGGTCCAATCATGCTGAAAGTTGACTTGCATTTTTATGAATATTCATCATTTCTATTATTTTGAACACAAAAATTAAAACAGGTTTTCCACTTATCATTTTATCGGTGAAAGTGCACAGCGACTACGACATCAACAGCAATGACAGACATAGGTGACAGCTATATGTATAGACACATCTGTGTCTGTACATAAAAAGTACACTCTGATATCAAGAAACAAAACTTACCCTGATTCCTAGCTTAAACCCCTTGGGTACAGATACTAGCTGGAGGATCGATCAATGTGGGTGTGAAACATCTCTGACCACTATCCAACTTTAATGATCTCGTTTTCTGGAAACCTCGATTTGGAGGCTCTGAACCACTTAATATAAGAGCTTCAGTATCTGGCTGTGAGGAAGGCAACACTAGCTGTGATGGTGATAAGTCAGGTTGTACCTCTGGTTGTGAGGAAAATTCTCCAGGTGGCAGCACTGGCTGGAGTGGTGACACACCAGGTGGCAGCACTAGGTGTGAAGAAGACACTCCAGATGAGATCATCGTTGTCACCATGACCCCCTTATCATTATCTCCTGTTTTCTTTCCTCCTTCAGTACCTCTCTTCTGATCAGAATCACTGCCACTCTGTTTTCTCAGCTGTTCCTTTTCATACTCAGTATTGGTGTTCTTTATTTTGCCTCCTCCTCCTCCTCCACCTCTCCTTTCTGTAGCAATCTGGTGACTTTCCATTATTTGAACCTGCAAATATTTTATATAAAAGTTTGTTAAACCTACTACTGACAACATGAGGTCTATAACTGATACATGTATATACATCTACAGGATATCTTTACATAATTAAAACAAGTAAGGCGACAAATACTGGTTGGACACACACACACACACACACACACACACACACTAACAAATGAAAAACTTTCAGAAAAAGAGGCCTATTACACTGCTTTTCCAACTCAGGCTGCATTTTAGTCCTGTGTTGCTTCTTTTCAAGTTTGAAAATCATAAGTAATTTGGGTTTCCCTTAATGCATGGTCATCATAGCAGCAGTGTACAAAATAGGGTTTCTTCATGTTTGATGCAATATTACTTAATACTTAACAGGATAATGACCATCAGTTTTTAATAATAAAATATAAGGTATTAAAGTATCATGGATATTCAGAAAAAGTGACTAGCAAAGGTCTTCAAGCCCATTAAGTTTGAGAAGATTAAGTGGTATGGTTTTCCTTAAATGTTCACTATGGCAACAGTGCCCAAAATAGGGTTTTCTTCAATTTTGATGCAATATTAAATAATGCTTAACAGCATAATCACCACAAAACTGTAACATGGGCTGCAGGTAACATGGATATATATTTTAGAAAATGTGACTGGCAAAGGTCTTCAGGCCCATGGAACTTCAAAGTCACACTTGAAAAAGTCACACTTGAAAAACCCACAATGTAAACTGTACAGAAATGAGTTTATTTCCATTTTTAACATTTTTTTTTAGATTAAACAAAATCACCCATTTACTATCATTTTTATATGATCAACTGAAAAAAATTGTTGAGATAGGAAAAATATCAATAGAACAATTTTTAGTGTCCAATTTGCTCCATTCTGAGATTCTGAACATAGTGAATGATTGAATCTGACAAACTGCAATGATATGAGTTTATTTCCATTTTTGACTCTTTATTACACAATACACTATAACAGGTTTACCATAATTTTTATATAATCAACTTACAATATTGTTAAGATGCAGAAAATGTAAAAGAACACTTTTAGGTATCTAATTTCTTCAATAATGAGACTGTCAACATGCCTAAGAATTAAATCTGAGGAAAATCTACTTATACGCAAAAAAGGCATCAACTTCATCAAGCTTATTTTCCAACTTGAAGTTGATCTGTATATTAGTCCTATGAATCAGTCCTGAAAGTTATAAGGCAAAATATTATGTGGGGTTTTTTTTGTTATGCATAATGGCAGATAAAATATGCTGAAAAACACAACGACAGACAGGCGATATCTGTGTCTGTACAAAAAAATTAAAAAAGAATACACAACAAACAAAGCTGTCAATTGTACAGGCAAAAAAAAACATCTAGAGGATCGTAGAGGTGATATCCGCTCCAGGTATTGTACCACCAACTGGAGTAAGCATATATGTATGGGGAAGAAAGAGGGGGGGGGGGGGGGAACACCTGCAGTGTTATGCTTGACAAGCTCTACAAAATACAGTAAACAGAAAATTACAATTTATAACAAAATCATGGGGAAAAGTAAAAGGTCAAAGCCAAAGTTGCAGTAGGATTGTGAATATAGGACCTCCCATCCAGGTTCACTAGTAAATATAAGTTCAGTGCATAGTGAAAAGTAGGTCAAAGGTCAAGTTCAAGGTTGTAGTTACATGTAGATTGCCAGTATATAACTTCCTATTCAAGTTCAATACTAACTATTTGCATATCTCTGCCAGTTTTGGAAATATCATGGACAGAATATTTCCAAAGTTCAGTTTTTGTTGAAAAGAAGGTCAAATGTCAATTTCAAGCTAGGTCACAGTTAGATTGCCAGTAAATGACTTCCTATTCAAATTCAATAGTAACTATGGGCATATCTTTGCCAGTTTTGGAGATATAAGGGGATGGAAAATTTGCAATGTACAGTTCATGATGAAAGGTAGGTCAAAGTAGGTCAAAGGTAAATTTCAAGGTCACAGTTGAGTTAGATTGCCAGTATATGACTTCTTACTCAAATCAATGGTAACTATATGCTTATTTTGGAGTACTTCACATTTTATATTTGCCTCTGAATATTAATGAGATATTGTACTTTTTGATATAGCCCAACTCATAAAAAAAAACAGACACCACCTACAGTATTGCGTTTGACAACTTCTACAAAATGCAACAAACAAGAGGTCTCTAGCATTTATGGTTCCAGAATTAGAGAGTTTTCAATTTTGGCATCTAGTGACTGTTTCTCCTGTGATAATGCACCGATTGACCTTAAACTCAAGAAGATGAAAGATGACCCCAAGTGTGACAACTACCCGTAATATTATTGGTTAGGTCTATGTAGTTTCGGAAAATCAGCATATATATATATATATATTTATTTGGAAAAAATTCCCATTTTAAGAAAATTTTGGCCTGTTTGGCCTTGAATTAAAGGTCGCAGCAGGGGCCTAGCAACTAAACTTCGGAGCCAAGATTTAATCCATTTAATGGTGCGTGTGGAGGCGGGGAGACCATCGGGAATCAGCGGCATCACTTTTGAAGTGGGTTGGCCATATTCAGTCGGCAGATCAGTTAGTTCTTTATTCTGAATGGCCCCAATGTACATAAAAAGCGAGAAGTTTTGAAAAAATGACCTGATCATGCTGATTTTCTAACTTGACCTGAATTTTATGAATATTCATCAGTTCAGTAAGTTTGAAGACAAAAGTAAAATGATTTTCCACTAATTGTATTACGTATCACTGAAAGTGCATGGTGATGCGGGCACTGGTGTTGGCGACAACAAATGCAGGTGACAGCTATATGTACAGACTCATCTGTGTTTGTACATAAAAAACTACCCAAGCTCTTTTTCACCTGTTCATCAATCATTCTGAATTGCCATGGCCACTGTATGTTGTATAAAAACTGTCTGTGGTCAAATCTGTTATCATCCACGCTAGAGCTTTCAGCATGGTAGGAAGGAGTAATGACAGTCATCTTATGCCGATTAATGGAATAGTACCTGAAGAAGTGCTTTACCTTGGAGGCAACCTTTTCAGAAAAAGAAGGGAAATATTAAACTGCATTATGATTCCTTTAAGTTACATCTAAGTGTATGTTGACTAGTATCCAACTGCCTAATAGATATTATTTCATAAAATAGAACTGCTTATTTGATCACAGGAATATGATAATTATCCCTAATAAGTATACACTTTGCAAGAATTATACTTGTCTTGGAGTACAGGTTTCTTTCCAAGTGTGCACAAGTTTGCCAAACATGCTATATGGACCACAAAATGCCTGCTTTCGAAGTCTACCATAGACTGAAAGTTCATCGTAAGTCATGCCCAAATCTTTCTGAAAAACAAAATTGAATTTTTTTGTAAAAATGCATTGATGATGGGAAAACTTTATAACTCATGCAGTTCGAAATTGGATATCAATTTGTGAGTGGAATAGCACCCACATAATGTCCCTAAAATAAGTTGAGAAGGAAACTAAGATAAGAATACGTTACAATAGAACATCAATATAATTCCATACGGTTGAGCAAAGTGAATTAGAATGGAATTATTTTCTCCTAAGGGGTGGTAGTGTATATATTGTGCAAGTTGTGCTATTGGTAAGAAATGTGGGTAAGTTACAACAGCTGTTCATTTGACCAGTTAGCACAGACCAGTTGACATGTAAATTTTTATTTTTGTATTTTGTTTTTTGGTTATTGTCATTTACATTTGTTTAGTACATATGGCTGTATTCCCAGAGCTTTTAGATCGATCTATCCCCGCGGGGAGTCTCACTAGATTACTGTCAGATAATCCGGCTTAAATGTCCATCCCGCCTACTACAAGCTGTAACTTTCGTGTCCGCTCGGCTGACAGCTATTTAGCGTGAACCCCCAGGGAGTTAGGTCGATCTAAAGTAGATCGATCTAATCTCTGGAAATGGGGTCTATGATTGTTTTTATATGATAGCTACATTAATTTCTTTTGCAGTAATTATTTTCATTTTTTCCAATTTTTGTTACAAAGCAAGTATATGTGTGTTAGTGTGTAGGCATTGTGGTTTGTTGAAAATGATTGAAGATGGTTTGAAATAAAATTTGTGCGCTAACTACATTCATATGCACTTAAAGCAATAATAACTCTTCCTTTGAGATTCAAAATTCCGCAAGAAATACATTGTAAACAACGCATGGAAATATATTATATTGCATTTCACCTCTAAAACGGCTGTTATTGTAGTAAATCTAAAAACTGTGCTTGTCAATAGGGTTTTTGATGCCTTTCTTCCCGGTCGTCAAGGCATTCGCCTTCATTCAAGACCAAAATAACATATGGCGGCATATAGGGATAGCAGACGCGTGATGCAATCCTCAGACATAAGTTCGGGTTTTTGTACAGTGCGTGGGATAACGAAGGAATGGGGTCGTTGACCATTGGTAAGTACGGGCAAATTGCCGTTTACTCCAGGAAAATCCAATTTTTGGCCAAAATGAAGAGTTATTATGACTTTTATATGTTGACTGTGTTGTTTAATTCTTAATGTTATTCAGTGCTGGTTATTCTCTGGGAGAATCGGGGACACACTAATTTTAATTGATTAATAGTTTTTAGTTTTTTTAAAATCAGTGTAATGATTTCTGACATCCTACCTCATCTGTCTGTACTAGTTTGCCATCCTTGAGTGGTTCCAGCTCTGCCGTTGGAGGTGCAGCATATATGCTGAAAGAAAATGTTTACAAAATGGTACTTTTATTTTCCCAATGTCGAAAAAATGCTAATAAACAGATAAATTGTCAGAATAACATGCAAACTATTACCTGATTTTCTCTTTTGCTGCACAAATTACAAATGAAATGTATTTAACATGATTTATGTTAATGACAGTTTGGATTTGCACTCACTCTTTCAAAGCTGTAAATCCAAATTTATTAATTGAGTATGTGGTAAACTTCCTGAGGTCTGTTTTACTGATGGCCCCTATTGGGTTCAGATCAGCACTGGAGCAGTCATATTTGGTAATGTGGCCACGCAAACTGTAATATAATAATAATAATAATAATAATAATAATAATAATAATTTATTTGCTATAATCGCAACCCAAAGGTTGAAGTTTTACAATGTATCATAAATAAAATCATAAGGTATTTAAAGGTAACTAAAAATTATAAACTAAAAGACCAAAGCTTTAAAAAAAGTCAATCTGTACATCTCTGTACATTTCTGGTTGCTAAATCTTACCGTTCATCCATATTTGTAGAGCCTAACACCAGGAGTCCTCCTGGTCTCCCTCTGGCCCACAGAGACAACTGTGCAAATAGGTAAGCTAGAACCATACGAAGTCTGGCCTGGAAATGAAAAAGAAAACATGCAAAGTAAATTGACTTTTCCAATCTGGATTAAAAATAAAAAGGAAAAAATTCAAGGTAAATATATTCATTTAACAGGGATATGATTTTAGTATATCCTCATAATTTTCAACATTATGCATATTAATCCCCTGATCTACATGTATGTGACCCTTTCGATGATTTTGAATGAGTTTTAGAAATTAAATCTCAAATTAGTGTTCTCTGTAAATAAATTTGATAAAATGGCTCATGGTGAAAAGTAGGTCAAAGGTCAAGTTCAAAGTCCTATTCAAGCTCGATAGTAACTAAAGGCATATCTCTGCCAGTTTTGGAGATCTCGATATAAGGGAAGGAAAATTTGCAAAGTTCAAGTCATGGTGAAAAGAAGGTCAATGTGACTTCCTGGAGGAGGACAGACCATCATGGAATTAGCGGCATTGCTTTTGAAGTGGGGTCGGCCATATGAAGTTGGTGGATCAGTTAGTACTTGGATCAGCTATTCTAAATGGCCCCTAGGAGGAGAAGTGGTCTTGGTGATGTGTCGGCAGAGCCAGCAGACAGGATGGGTCGGGACTAAAACCATATGTACATCAGCGCCACACTGGTGGTACAATAAAATGTATCGATCTGTACCTGTATATTCTGTAATGCCACATTCTCTCTCAGACTACCCCCATGAGCTGTGAACCTGGGTACCACCCCCATCACTGCAGTAAATATACCCAGAACTGCTGCAACTGCTGTGTCTATTTTGATTTGAAGGTGGTGACTGAAAATAAAGACATCACCAGCACATAATGTTTGATATTCTGTATTAATTAAACATAAGATACAAGAAGAAATCCCCTTATAACCATGCACACTTTCACTGACCGAAAAAAAACTACTTTCACATAATGCTTCTTGCCAAAAACAAACAATTAAGGGAAACTATCAATTAAATTTATAATAATTAATTTGCAGATTACAAATACTTAACAAACTTCTGGAAATACCATAATTCATTCATTCTGTTAAGTATGCATATTAAACATACAATCAAATAGTACTTTTAAAATTTACATTCACCTTCCAATCTGCTCAGCAAGCTTCCTTGATCTTTCCTTAGTTTCCTCTGAATTGTTATCTGTTGCCATAAAGCATGTGGTGAACACTCTATTGGCCAGTTCTTTGGGGTCTGTAGGAATGTAGTTAGGATCTCCTGTTATTTTCCTGGCATCCTCTGATACTTTGGAATCTGCAAAATTATATGAATATCAAAATATTGTATAAATACATTAGGCATGAAAAAAGTAGCTGTTTCAAATGCAACCTCAATGTAATTATGAAATAAAATAAGAGTCCTACCTCCCTCACGCACAGCTTCACAGACCAGATGACACATGGAGGCCACTATACAAGCAGTACTGGAGCTGTCAATACCACCACTGAGAGGCAAGAAATATCCTCCGCTGCCACTGCGGCGTAAGTAATCCCAAAGCCAACACGCTGGACCAAGACTAAAATAAATCAGATCTAGCATTTAAACTTGAAAATGCATTCCAAAATCATGTTCTTACTCTATTTCTGAACAAATCTGGTCAATTTTTTAACAATTCTGGGAACATAAAATCTTAAAAAAGCTCACGCAATCTCCTCCTCTGGTGTGTGGTACTTCCATTCTATTGGCTCATAGACAGGAAAGAAAAAGTCATCTTCATGAGACAATGAAAAATCCACCTTCACTCTTGGAAAGGCTTTACACGAAGCTGCCTACAAAACACAAGTATCAATTAAGCAGCACTTTATAACCTAGTCACACTAGAGGCATAATGAGCTAGAATTAGTAAGAATGAGTTCTTTGTACATTGTATGTTCCTGGATATTCAAATTGTGTTCTAAAAAATCTGAGCGCATTCCAAATATATGGGCCCATTCTTGTGTCCAGTTGGAATGTTTTGCTCACGCTCCAAATTTTCTAAGTGCATTCCAAGTGGAGAAATAACGAATGGCATTCTAAGGGTGCTTTCCCAGAGATTTAGATCGATCTAAAGATTAAGTTTTAACTCCCTGGGGGTTCACGCTAAATTGCAGTCAGCCGAGCGGGCACCATAGTTAATCACCCCCTTACAGCTTTTAGTAGGCGGGACAGACGCTTAAGCCGGCCAAGCTGACAGTAATCTAGTGAGACTCCCCACAGGGATAGATCAATCTAAAAATCTATGGAAATGGGGTGTAAGTGTATTCTAACTGCACTATGAGTGCATTCTTAATATTTTTACAGCATTCCAACAGGAGAACAGAAATGGCAAGACACTTCAAATCCTGCCAGAATGTTCCCAGACAACTGCTTAGCACAGCACATCAAAATGCCAAGGAACTATAATCTAGCTTACTCTTCTAAATAATTTACAATAACAAGGCAGCAAAGCTGTCAAATGTACAGACAAAAAACAGAAAATAAAGATGCAAAAAAGGTCATTTTGTCAATTTTGAAGCAATAATAAATAATGCTTATAATAGCACTATCAGTCACCACTGAATTTTAATCATGCACAACAGGTAAAATGGTCAATAACATGAGCGGACCCAGAGATATTCTCTGACAGTATTCCAAAGTATCTATTTTGATCCATCCTCCATTTTGATGGTCTTCCAACAGAAGAAAAAATAGATACCAGGCAATATAAACTTAATAACCTGACTGTCTTCCAGAAGTCCCAGAAGATGGTCTCAATCTACCCTTTCAACAAGATTACAGTTTCAGGACAATAAGAGTTCAAATTCACATGATGAAAGTCTCAATATTTGAAAAATGATGACAGTGCATAAAATAATATTACATAAGTAACATAATGTT